TCAGACATTAAAATCGTACAGCGGCCGTACGAAATCTATTGGAATATAATATTCGGATCAGACACTACAGCAGACTTAAAAAAAAAAACTGGAATCGATAGTTAAATTTAAATATAGCAACAATCACGGAACTCTTGCTTTTTTCGAATGTATCGAAGTTTATCGCGATATTGTTCTACTACCGTATATTAGTAGGGGAAACCCATCAGAAAAAAAAACGCGCTTTTTAAAGCGTTTCAAAAACCGTCTAGCACTATTTATTTAAAAAAACCAAACATATTTTACGCGAATGTACCGAACGCAAAGCCGGGCATTTTTGTCGATTTGTTTCGTTATGAAATTTAAATTGACCTAAAAGAAATCAAGTTAACATTTTATAACTTTGAATTTGATTCTAATAAACTACAAGTTAAGTCAGAAATTTTCAGAATAGTAAAATAACTAAGCTAATAATTTGAATGTTACTTTTCGTCGGAATACGAATATTATTACGAAAAACATTTTTCAATACGAACAATTCTGTTTGGAAATAACTTAAGTTTTAACAAAACGACCGAGTTCAGTTGAAATTATTTTATTAAACGAATTATATAGGTTAATTCTATAAGTTTTTGAAAAAAGAAAAACCAAGTAATAACGTGTATAATTCAACTTTAAACTTTTCAACAGTACACTGCATATTTGGTTAAAACGATCTTAAAAAAAAACAAACGGGCGGGCGGGGGGGGGGTTATTATTTGTATTATCGTTATAAGTTAAACCGTTGCAATAACATTGTACATGTGTTATCATATGTAGTACGGGCGATTATCTATTCCATAAACATTTCATGTTCGTTTTTTTTCACAATAATAAATAAATAAAAATACACACGATATTATAATATATACACGCACAGATAATAATTATAATCTCTTTAGAAAAAAAAAAAAAAAAAAAAAACAAAAACAAAAACAAAACCCATACACCTATATTATAACGTAATACGCTTTAACCCATTGTACGGATTTAACCTTAAAAGTGACGCAACGATTTGTTTTTTCAATATTTTTATTGTTATTGTTTTTTATTTCGAAAAAAATACCGAACACCCATACGTTACAGTACGGTTATTATCGTGTGAAAATAATAAAAAAAAAAAAAACAAAACGAAAATCGAAAAGTTAAAAAAATCGTTATTCGTAATATTTACCAGGATTTCGCGTGGCAGGTTTACGACGACATATTTTCGGCGATTTTTTTCAAATATTCTTTCGCGAATTTCGAATGATTCGTAAAGAACACGCGCATCCGTTTCGTCACTTACGGGCACTGTCGTCGGGTTTTTAATCATTTTCCGTTGTATTTCGAATGTTTTTTTTTTTTTTCTTTCATCGTTTCCGCCGAAACGCCGGCGCCCGGGACATTATTGACGTCGCGCAATTGCGGCGAACGTTCGCGAGCCCGAAAAAAAAAAACCTTTGAATCTATCCGCACGTCCGGATCGCTGGAAAACTACCGAAACACGCCCGAGAACCGTCGAAATCCGCGACTTTTCGATTTTTTTTACGACAGACGGACAAACTGGTAGAACACGCGATTCCGTACGGTCCTCGTCGGCGTACGGAATCGCGCACGTTTTTAAGGCACCGCACGCGTTGTTCTTTTAGATTTTAGCGCGACGTTGCCAGATTTTCATAACGGGACTTGTTCAAAATCGCATTCGGGCCTATTTCGCGTATTCGGAAAGTGAACACGCGCACTTGACAATCGATTTCCGTGCGGTTTATTATTATTATTATTATTTATTTTTTTTTTTTTCAAAATTTTTGTTACATAAATAATATTGGACGGCACAAAGACAAATAATAAACACTACGTGCCGTGAACAATAAGGTATTGCTAAAACGTGTTTAGATGGCACAATCGACGAATAATTGCTGCACCGAAATGTAATAAAATATTTGTCAGGTGTTTGTAGTAAAAAACGCGTGTACGATTTATACTATTTAATTGACAGTTCGTTCACTTTTTCAATAGTAAACGGCAACACTGGCCGGAATCGTGTGGTTTTTTTCGGGTCACATCGGCAATCCATTGTTTGATCAAAAACGTACGGAACGGTGTTTTACCGACGTCAAATAACCGCCCCGGTATTGTACGAGCGCGTTCGACGAATATTTTTAAACGTTTTTTTTTTTTTTTTTTTTTTTTTTTTTTTCACGCAGACAATATTAATTATAAAGTATTTTCGAGATAAACCCGGTAAAATAATCGAGAAAAAAGACTTTGGTCCATGCAAGTATGTACAATACTTTAACATAATGCAGGTCGGATATTATAATAACAGCAGCCATAGTATAATAATAATAATGCACGTTGATGCAATCAATAACATTTTATCAGAAACGCATCGAGATATTATAACGTTACAGATACACTGCAGTAGAGATACGGTGCATCGCGTATATTTTTTTTTTTTTTTTTTCT